ATGGATGTTCTTTTTTACTAAAATTATCAATAAAGAAGTCTTTCCAGTAATCATCCATCATTTTATAACTATAGCGTCCTTTCAAAATTCAAATTATCAAATAAATTCCTATATTTACGCCATATCACACATGCGGCGCTAGGAGCGACAAGGGTATCTTTTTATCAACGATAAGGGCGTCATAACCCTCAGTTGACCGTGCCATCCGGACGGTTTCGACGATTGGTCCGTGCTCCGATAAGAACAACAAAATATCACTAATGAGACATCTGTATGAATAATCTCAGCAAGATTAGCGCTGATGCTCCACAAAATCTTGCCTTTATCAAAGGAAAAAATCCCATCCTAGCGAAACGAACGTATTTCCGACTGTTATTGAACATTTTCTTTCATCTTCTTTATGTTGCTGTAGTCACTAGATAGACTAAAAATTTTCAAGATCTTCATAATGTGTTCTATTAATAAATGAAAGACAACGTTTTGCAATCGTAGTCCATTTTTTTCCTAATACGAGCGGATCTTCGGGATTATATAGTCAGATTTTGATTCTTATGAACTTTTTTGCTCAAAAATTGAAATTATCATTGAAAGAACTTTTGTAAACGTATTTCTAAAAAAATAACGCCCAACTTTCTTGAAATCTTTACTTTTGAAAACAATTTCAAGCTCGTGCAATTGCATTCCAAGGATTTCTCCCGTGAGCCCGTGGTTTTTACCTGAAAAAACCCCACAAATGTCATTCTATATAGATATTCCACTTCCAAGTGTCCAATGAGTCGGCTGCTACGTGGTCCTCAAGCACTAGGTCGACTAATCGCGTAAGCCGATTTCTGCTGGTTATGTCAGTAAAAATTCTGATCGTTAATTAATGTACGTCTTTCAAACTCGGAACTGCCTATTCGTGACTACCTGAGAACACCTCTACCCGGCTATCTTGAATAACAGTAGCAAAATGTTCACGAGGAAGAAAGACAAATAGCTTCAATTTGTAATCTGAACCGCGACGCAAACTCGAACACTTGCAAAATGAAGCAATAATGACGAATGGAATGAATGCTGATCTCAGCATGAGATGTGAAAAGTGGTCATCTACGCATCCAAATGTGCAATGAAAACACTTTGCATTACGTCATTTCTTCTCACACTTGGGCCGTAAATCGTAATTTTTTCTCATCTCCATAATTTGCAACATCGCAATTTTTTCTCACACAACAACTGGATATCGAAATTGTTCCCACGGATAATCCATATTTCGCAACCTTCCCACGCATCATAATACAAATCATATATTACTACGGCTTTAGTGAACTCCCATTACAGTTTGTGCGTATCTCAACACGCCTTTCATTTGATCATTTTTCTTGATTCATATTCCAAAAGGTAATCCACTTTTTCGTCTCCGTTAAGTACAATGGTGCCATTGGTACAGCATCATAAAGGTCGTAGAAAAGTTCTACAGTATCATCTAACAAAATGACTTCTACAAATGTGTTTTGCGCAAGTTTGTGCTCATCGGAGAGCTCATTTTCTTTCGCATCGGACGACCTATCATTTGTCTACACAACGTTCAAAATGGAACTGTCCAGGGCAAAAATTCGTCTGCTGCTCCACTTTAGCTACAAATTTGGTCTCAGCTCTTCTGGTACTCATCGACAAACCTGCAAGCGCATAGTGACGAAATTTGAGACGATTGTACAACTCAGAGTTGGTTTAAGACATTCCGTAAGGAAGACCAACTGACCGACGAGCAAAGAGAGGGACGTTCACGAGACATCCACGAGAAACAGCTTTCCGACGCCAGTTAGGATTTCAAAAGGAGAAGAAAATGGTGGTTCCATCTTGGAGTTTTGCTAGAGTTGTTCACTGGAGTTGCTCAAAAAAGGACAGTCGATAATAGTCATACTCTATTGCGAGATCCTGAACCGTATTTATCAGAATCTGCGAAATCGCCGATCTCCAATCATTCTTTTGTACGACCCCGCAAAACCTCACACAGCAAACGCGACAAGGAATCATATGGCATGCGTTGTATACGAGGTTCGGAGCATCCGCCGTGCAGCCAAGGCTTGGCGCCGAATGACTATCACTTATTTCATAACCGTCATATGCTATGCATCGATAATCAATCGCTCTAAAACAACGCCACGGTGGACTGTTATCGTACAGTAAGTGTATAAAATCCGTCGCCGATTCCTCTATATAGGGCTAGGTTCCCCAAGGAAACTTACTGAACGAAAGCAGCTGACGAGGCTCTAAGGCCGAAACGCGTGTCTTGTACTGTATAAGTGCTCATAACAGATCTCAGAAAGGCTGAAAACATGTTATCAGGTTGTATTTGGGCCATGTCTCAAAATGCGTCAATGGCAATATTTCCATTCGATAGAACATTTTTTGAGTGGCAAGAATATCCAAAATATCCCTGAAATTGAGTGAAATGTTCAATTCTCTTCAAATTAAATGATAGCGAATTTTACTGCCGCGAAATCTTAAATATCAATATGTGGCTGAATTGTCGTGATGTGGTAGGAACTATCAATTTATCTTTTGTTTGAGCTTAATTGGTGCACAAGTAAATTTTTTCTATGCATTTTGAAAGTACGACATAACTTTTTCTACAACCCTATTCAATACTCAGTCTTACTTACCTGCTTAGACACTCATACACCCCGTTTTCAAATGTATTGAAGGTCTCAATAGCTCTCACACACATTTTTGCTGCAAATGTCACCCCGTTAAAATGGGTAGATGTGTGACTTGAGGATATCTTGAAGACCTGTGCACTGCTCTCCTCATGTTGAATGATGGTAAAGCTTGTTGTTATCCTTCCTAAATAGCCGAGTTAGAGCACTCTCAACTCCCTACTAAGTAAATGACAAAGGTAAATGAGAGATCCGAGAATGTTGAATGGTATGGGAACTTTGACACGTGGGCTTTGAGAGTTAAATTCGCGTTTAATCCTTACTAAGGCGTGTACTAACCACTGCACTATTGGGACTTTCTGTTCTGTTATCGCTTAAGAATCTTGGATAATATGATTATGACATTGCTACATTATTACACTGTTACTAAGACGTTGAAATAAAGAATTCTCGCAGTAGGTGAAAAACTCAAGGCAGCCGTCTAAAGTAGCAAACTTCATTGGAAATAAAGAATCCATACTAAGTGTGCTGCTTTCTGATATCCTTGAGTGAACACAGCTGATCCGCTAGCATTGATGTGGCTTAGGAACAGCTGCGGACTAATTGAACATGCTTAACCTTTTCGGGACGAGGTGTTGTACAAAATGGCACATTGTCCTTTCTGTGGTTTTCTTTGAGGAACAAATTTGTCAGTAAACTTTTGGTAGTCATTCAATAGAATAAAGAATTCGATTTTAACATTGGGCTTGGTTTCTGAAAGGGCTTTCTTGGTGCACTGTGGCAACGAAGTGAGCATTGCGTTTTGTCTTCGGAGTGTAGACTGTGTCCCGCACGCGTGTTTAAGTGACTCCAGACAAAGTTTTAACACTCATCTAATAACTTCAGAGACGGCAACTCGAACAGTGGGCTTGATATTGTAATATTGCGCTGCAGCAACGTGGAACAGAAAATTATGCCTTCTCTCCAGCATTCACTACTTGCTGGGCCGAGATTTCTGCTTGGCTTTTCACCAGATTTTTCATAAGAATTCAGCAACATTTTCACGAAAAATCTTGGTGACTTCACATCTTAGTTTGAACTTCGAATAAGGTCTTCATGAAGCGCTGTAAAAGAGAAGAACGATTACAGTTTATGGAGGGTTTCTTGGTATATAGAATGGAAAGAAAAGGCTAATATCTAGAAGAATGTAGAACAAAATCTTTTTTAACGGTTACGCAAAATTTGAAAACTTTCTATGGTGAAAACATTTTAATTAACGAATATAAGTCCTTTCGGGATGGCACTTGAAGTCCTACACATAGCGTCATTTCAAGAAGCGCGACTTTCGCTATTTTTGGAAAAATGTTCCTGTTTTGAAGAAACTTCCATATTTCTCTTGACGTTCTGATACGACCCAAATGCCACTACACGCTTGTACGTTTTCTATTCATATATATATATATATATCTATATATAATGTATACATATACATAGATGGGTACGATATATATATATATATGTATATATGTATATACATATATATAAATACAATACATAAAGGATAAAGGAAAGGCTCTCGGCGTTGATCAATCCCTAAGGGACGTGCCATTCATTCGTATTCAATTTTTAACTTAGTTTGAGTGATTGAATGCATATTTGGCCTTTACAATAACTCGCAGTGGCCTCCCTCTGAACCGAGTCTGCACTGCTTGTCCTCTTAGACAAGTCGAGACCAGTCTGGTACGAATTACCGATCCCGGAGGAATGAATGGCTTGGTGAAGCATCAGCGCGAGATCGAACCATTGACCTAGTGTGCGACGCATAGCACCTCTAAGCACTGCGCCACATGCGCTCGTCTAATTTCATATTTCACAATATACATGCAGATATATATATATATATATATAAATGTTATCGGCGAGAAGAAACTCTGAGGGTAAATGTGATTTTCTTTCTGCTTTAACAGCAAACCATAAAAACCCAATCAAAATCATGTAGCATAGTCCCCGCTGACGCAAACTTCTTTGAACACCACTCCAGATCATCGATGAGTGGTTCGTTTTTAGCGAGAGATAGTATTACAGGGATTGACTCCTGCAATGTCTGTGCGAAATGGATCGTTATAGCTATGCAAAAAAAAATGGAAGATAAAGCTATAGAAAAAGTGGTGGCGAGTGGGACACCGATTCAATGCCGCTCGAGGTTCGAAGTTTTGTACATTATTCACATTCGTGGATATATTATTATGACATCAAAACTGCTACGAAAGCGGGAAGATTAACGAGCCTGTGGGTCATATACGTAATTAAAAATGTCAATAATCAAGGTGTAAAAACTGGAATGAGCAATGTTCAAGAACATTTAGTGATAAGCGAAACCTTAACCGCGGGCGGGAGTCGAACCCGCGCCTCATCCTTTCCGAAGGTGCTTGCTAGCCAGATGCACCACCAAAGCTCCATTCTGCTAGAACGAACATTCCAGAAGCAAACATGACTACGTCAGTGACGTGACTAGTGCTATTCGATTTGTTCACTGCACTCGACTTGCTTCGATCAATACACGCAGCGTCATATTCTGTAAACACGAACAGCTAATGTGCTCGAATGCGAATAGTCCGACCTAAAAAATGCGGGAGCACGAAGAATTCAAATATTCCGCAACAAACAATTCATTTGATGCTTCTTACTTTCGTGAGAGGTCGTCGTTTTCGCTTTGTTTAGAGTTGTTCATTCTGATTCATGAAGTTTTCACTCTGTGAGAATTATCTACGAATCGATTCGACTTTATGTTCAGTCTTTTCTTGATGAGGAAATGTTAGAGTATTTCCACTCACAACGATGAAAACGATAACTGTGGATTTGGCAATTTCAGCGTTTTATGAAAGCCTGAGAAGGTCAAATCGACTCGTAATCTGCTCAGTCAAGTACTACCATAGGCTCAGCAATTTTTAAAAGCAAAAAAAATTAGCAAAAAAATACATGGTTTTTTTCTTGTCTAAAAGTCTATAGAAAACTCACTGTTTTGTTCTCCTTTATCTTCCAACTCATCTAATATCAGCCAGACAATCACGTTAAGAGTAGGAATATGCTAAGTTCAGTTCAGAACTGTTCTCCCTACATTAATCTCGGATCTGCTCGTCGAAAAACACTGCATTGTTCAAAATTCTTTCTATTTTGAATGCCACTTGCAGTGGTATGATGTTATAGTATACCCGATATGTGGAGTGCTGTGCAAAAACGTTCGCATCAGCCGGATTCGAACGAGCGTCGGTAGTGCAACGGTTAGCATACGCTCCCGGAAAGAGATCTGAGATCTGGGTTCGAATCCCGGCTGACGCAAACGTTTTTGCATAGCACTCCACATATTGGTATAGTGCATTGTTGAATTTTTGTAGACGCTAATAGAAAGTCCTCGGTCCTAGAACCGCTTCGAATTGTTCGTTGTTTCCTTTTTCCACGTGGCTTCGATGCTGCCACAAATTCATGCCATTACGTGTTCTTATGATATATTGGCGACATTAGTTTGTCGCTTTACCTTGAATTGCTGGCACTTATATGTTAAACGGCGATAAATGAGTATCCGACCTCATCGCTGGACAGAAACTTTTCATAGGAGTGTTAGTGGTTATTCGAAAGCTTAGATTTCCGGCTACAGCCCTACGTCGCCGGTTTTCGAAAAAAGCCTTTCTATAGCGCTTTGGGCGCATGTGGCGCAGTGGTTAGAGGTGCTCTTCGCATGTGAGGTCGATGGTTCGATCTCGCGCTCATGGCTCACCAAGCCGTCCATCCCTGCGGGGTCGGTAAATTGGTACCAAACTGTTCACAGACTTGTCTGGGAGGATAAGCAGCAGTGACTCGGTGCAGCGGGAGGCCACCGCGAGTCATTGTAAAGGCCAGATATGCATTCAATCACCTCAAACGAAGTTAAAAATTGAAGTCGAATGCATGGCGCATCCCTCAGGGATTGATCAACGCCGAGAGCTTTATCCTTTTTATCCTTTTAACATATAAGTACAAAATGCGTAATAGAAAGAGTCTCAACGGAGCAGTGGTTTGGTGGTGTAATGGTTGTACGCCGCTCTCCCGAGTGAGGGTGGAGTTCGGGTTCAATGCTCGCCTCAGTTTCAAAACTTTGCATATCACTCAGCAATTTGGGACGTATTATCGTACGAGACTGAAGTACGTGCTATTTGTTGAACTCCTTTCTTTTGTAGAACAGCGAAACATGTGTAGCACTTAATCGTTTGATCTTTCAAGAAAACTGACCCTTCTAATCATTAGCCACATTTCGAGCCACATTCACTAGTGTCTGTATGCATTACTTACTCAGCAGGCGTGTCACGCGCAGTGGCTAGAGGTGTATCCTGCGACACACATGAGGTCAGTGGTTCAATCCCGCACCTTGCGCTCAACAAGGCTTCCATCTATTTGGAGCTGGAGCGAATCGGACCAGACTTGTCTGAGAAGGTAAAAACACTGAGTCGATGCAGCGGAAGGCCACCGCGAGTCACTGTAAAGGCCACATATGCATTAAGTCACCTTCAGCAATGCTACGAATGGAGGAGAATGCATGATGCAATTCTCAGAGATTGATCAACGCCGAGAGCTTTAGAGCTTTTGCTTTCATGTCAGATCATGTTAGGTCATGTCATGCCCTGTCAAAGCTCTCATTGATAAGCGGCTATAAAATTGATGAACGTCTCGAGCCCTCAGTTTCTTCAGTACCGTTGCGCATCCGAATAGTCGGATGTCCACAGTCGTTCGTCCATCTTCCGATGTAGACGATCTTCATGTTCGCGCACCGAGTCCAATTCAGTGGCGAGGTGAGTGCATCGCCCACATCACCTCACCCTCATTCAGCAGTGCTTTCTCCTATACAGACTAATACTGGTTCTACTTATATCGATGTAACGCGGAGTGGTTGCCACGGTGGTTCAGTGGTATCTCGTGCCTCCCCGGCATAGGTAAATCACTGGTTCGACTCCCGCCTTCGGTTAGAAAGTTTTACATATCACTCAGCATCTTCGAATATATTATTATAGCGTCATGTTTGAGTAGCTTGAATACTGATTGTTCGCTTCGATTATCTATGTGAATACATCTCTTTTCACCCCCCTTATTCGAAAATTTCAGATGGCGTTTCCCAAATGCTCATAGCTCGTTACTGCTTGTCTTTACAGCATTAAGGCATGTGCGTTGACATGCATATAAATATATATTGAGTTGACAAGGAATTTTTCGGACTTCTTCGCTTTTGTTGGTTATTTTTAATGCATTTGAGTTTTTGTTTTTGCTATCGTTTAGAGCAGCTTCTTGTGGTTACTTTGATATATAAAACTTTTACATTTGTTTTTAGATGGAATCGTAGCGAGAGCAAAAACGATTGTTGATGCACACGTGTATCGTTTGGATTAAAGTGCTGCATTGGCACGCAACGATACTCGTCTAGCAGCAGCAGTTGTTTTTGCTCTCGGGACACTTCCATCTAAGAACAAATGTAAAAGTTTTATATATCGAAATAACCACAAGAAGCTGCTCTAAACGACAGCGAAGACAAAAGCTTCAATGCATTGAAAATAACTAACAAAAACGAAGGAGTTCAAAAATTTTCTTGCCAACCCAATATGTATATGTATATGTGTATATACGTATGCATGTACATGTGTACGTATATATACGTATATTGCTCAAAAGATCGACTTTCCTTGAACCTCGGCATGTCGATAATATAAAACTGGGAGAGAGAAAGGAATAGCTTAGGAACTAGTCTTTATTTTGAGCTTACGCAAGATTGATCTCACTTACCCGATCGATTGCCCTTCTTGTCGATCGGTGGATCTTTGTGGATATTGGTGGCTGACGTTTAGACGCGGTATCCTTCCTCAGAGCGGTTTTATCTCGTCTAGGAATTCTTAAGGGGGAATAAGTGATACCAACCTCGCAAAAGCTCAAAATAAACCTTAGTTGCTAAGCTATTCATTCCTTTGTCTCAGTTTTATATGTGCGTTATGTATACGCATACATATGATATACGTTGACACGTGTACATTTGCAGACAGAATAATACTTCGATCGCTTTAGTCATGGACGATCCATCGCAAAAAGGTAGACGAAGCTCGGTGGGTCGTTTTTTCTGAATCAAATTATACTGAAAATAGTTTCTTTTCTCCTTTTCTCCTTTATTGCCCATTTCGGAGAGTCTTCAACCCTTTGGGAACCACGTGCTACGAAACTTAACACGCCACACGACGTCGCGTCTCACTCAGCTACTATAACGGCAGCGTCGCGTCTCGGGGTTAGGGAGGCAGGCAGCATTTGCAGGCGCGATCGATGTGCATATGCTTAATGCCTGGGACTGCCGTGCGAGCGACCACGACGATGCTGCCATTACGGTAGATGAGTGAGACGCGACGTCGCGCGGCGTGTTAAATTTCGTAGCACGTGGTTTCCAAAGGGGTAAAGACTCTCCGAAACGGCGGTTCCTAAAGGGTTGATATTGGAGCACTAGGATAATCTCGATACAATTCAGATTTTGAAACTACGGCAAGGTGATGTGACTGTGGAGAACACGGATGATGTTGATGACGAGCAAAAGCAAGTTTTTAAACGTCGCGTCAGTTTCCACAATGTGAAAACTGTTCAGTGAGTAACGTTTTGTGCTCTCATTCCGGTTAGTTAGCGTCTTTTATCCACTACACAGAGTATTTTTTGAAGAACTTTCGACGAGAACAATTTGAATTTGCTGGATGGATCACCTGTCAAGGAGAAGATTCAGGAAACAATGAGTTCAGACGGGGTTCTGACGTAGGTTACGTTATAAACTTCAGTTTTATGAAATTTATTCTATTAAAATCGAGTAATTTAGTCCCGGTCGAGGTCACATCCCTTCGCTAACACATCCCAGCAAAGCTGACGAACGTGAGAATGTAGAGAACACAAGCTCTATGGACATCACAATGAATGATAGTGTTACAGGTACAGTTTCGAGTTTGGTTTAGTACAGTTTTACAATACTCCCCCTACTCCTCACCCTGCCTCATCCCACAGCAAATTCATACAAACTGAGAAAGAGTCCGTCGTTTCCACTTATATGGAGCGAAATTTATGCCAGGGGCACCGTGGCCGAGGGGTTTAGATGCCCGTCGCAGCGCGCACAAAGTCAAATCTCACCCTCATTGCTTCATGGTAGTCAGCAACGGACATCCTATAGAAGTCACAAGCGGGCTATTCTCAAGATTTCAAGGAGACGCGCTCAATTAGTATTCTACGACATTAGAAGGCGAAACAAAACCAATTGAATGCCAGAAGTACTGAAAGTCACACAGTGAAAGAAGCGCGTTGGGGATAAGTTTCAGATAAAGTGCTAAAATTTATGCCAAAAATGCGCTAAGTGGATGGCAAAGTTGAGTGCCACGCGGTCGTGAGCGTCTCACGTCATCTCTCAGATCGATTTTC